ATTTCTGGACTTTGTAAGTCTATCTATTGACTCGCTTTTTTAAATCCAGCTCCGATACTAAACAAGAGGAAAATGAGGAGAGGAACGCCACTCGTGATCAACCCGACTCTTCTTCGAGTGCCATGGTACCCAATATCGACCTCTCAGACCCTCATGCTATTCCCTTGGTTACGGCCTCAGACATTAACACCATGGATGTTTTTCCCAACCCATTTGCGTTGGTCGAAAATCAGTCTTCCACCACGAGCATCTCGGGCCTAATCGCTACTGGTCTTCCTGGTATCGGTGATTATGCCTATTTCATGCCTAATTGTCTGTTTATGTTGACTGCTCTATATGTATCAGGAAAAATGCGGTTTCTCTTTCTCATATGGCATCTCAGACGCGCGGAAAATCTTCCAACGCTGATTATGACCGACCCCAGGTTTCTGTGGAAGGATAATCTTCTCTATTTGCTCAAGGTTCCAGGAGTGTACCCCGGCTACCTTTCGAAAATGATACCACGCAACACGTGGTGTCTCGTGGACTCAAACCGCGACCTTACAGATGTTCCGGATTTCCTGTTGAACAGCCTAGCATATTTGGTTCTTCCCTCGAGAGTTTAGAATAGAATGGGGAAAGAAGCAGAAAGATGTATATTATTTGGTGATGAAACCCTGGAGCGCTGAAGAGCTCATATCTGGGTATGTTCTCATCCACGCTGTTGGTGTTATTACTCATGGGGTTTATAGGCTTCAACTTCAGTTGCGTGTACGTTTCCCCCCAACTGTGAACTCCCTTGTTGACTTCAGAGCGCAATATGGGGGATCTGCTAGGGACGCATACCGCTATGCTTCTAATATATCCTTGCTTGAGGAGGAAATCGAAGGAGCTGCTCTGGCCATGAATGAGCGGGCCGTCAAGCTTGCCTTCACCTCGAGACCCTCTTCCTTGCGGCTCCCCGAAGAAGCTGGGTATATGCTGCTGTCAGTGTTTCTGGGTATATGCTGCTGTCAGTGTTTCCGCTCGGTGACCACGACCGTCAAAAGTTTATTGTCACCGCCCCTTCCGAATACCTGTATAAAAGGGTACTTAGGATCATCGATGAAAATCTTGAGGTTGCGAGCCGAAAACTCTATTATATATGCCTTGGCTTCCCAACTCCTGGGACCAAGGCTTTAGCCAGTAGTATACTGCATTGAGATCACAGTAAAGCATCATGAAGGGGGGCATTTGGCAACTTCACCGTATGGAACCTCCACAGCAACTCGGACAAGGCACGAAAACTCATTCGTGGACGAGGACCGATGACGCAGATCGTTTCTTCCACGTCGAGAACTCCTTGACATTTGTAATAAACAATCGCTCTGAACCTGCACCGGCAAAACTAGAACTGCCACCACGCATATATCTTTCGCATCGATGAGGATATCTCCGTTCAAGAAGGTATATACTATGTACCGTGTATGTAGTCCTTGCGTCGGAGGGGCATGTGTTGTTCATCATTTAGAGACTACAAAAGCAAAGGAAGCTTATATCTGGTTCTCTGGGCCCTCCCCGGAGATGGGCTTTGTCCGCGCCACTTCTGTCTTGCTGTCAAGCTTGCTGTCTGGAGCGAGTCTGGTTGATACGAGTAACGAAGCTTCGACGTCCCGCGTGTACTACGTGGGGCCAAGCCCAAGTACCACTAGAGATTAGACATAGTCTTTCTCAGGTGCTATCAGGGATCACAGTATACTCCAACTCGATAGCACAACAATACTTATCAATACATACTTATCTTATCTTCACGTGCTGTCGCGTGACGCAACTGTATCCACGTGATGCGATTACCCAGCCCTGAGCCGGAGCCGCGTTCCATCTTTCTAATCTGAAGGTTATGAGTCAAGCTTTCAGCCTTTCACTCTTTGACCACCACCTACCACCGCTCAGAACTCAGAATGCCCGCTGTTCGATCTTCAAGCACCAGCTCAATTCTCAAAAATAAACAAATATTCTACCCGACAAGTAAAGCTGAGAGAGATGCATTCAGAAGGTTGTCTGGAAAGGTAAGTTTTTGCCTAGAGTCTTTCGTCTGGTCCATAAGTACTTAAGCATATACCCGGTACTATCGAAGGGTGTAACTCAGCATCAGTGGGACGTATACGATTTTACAAAGTCGATACCCAAGGGACAAGTTGTTCGATACGCTGATGTGTGTCGAGTAGTCGGAGGGTCTCCTCGTTCAGGCGAGTCTTCCATTGTTGTGCCATCTCTTCTCATGTCTTAATATCTGTCACAGTCGGAAACGCGCTTCGCAACAACCCATTTGCACCATACATACCATGCCACCGCGTAATCGCCTCAACGCTTTATATTGGTGGCTTTCTCGGCGAGTGGGGACCAGAGAGCAAGACGAAAATACAATGCCGAAGAAAGCTGGAAATTTTGAAGGATGAGGGAGTGATGTTTACCGAGAAAGGGTATTTGGAAAAGAAGGAGACGTTGTGGCAGATGCACAACTAGCAAGCTTGCATAGCAAACTTGTATCTACTTGTATATGAATTGTTCTACTTATGAATGACAAAGTGCCCTTGAACTTTGACTTGAGATAGAACAAACTAGGACCACCACAGGACATTGTTGAGAAAATGGTGTGTCCAGCCGAGGGCCTTTTCATCCATCACCTAATCCTGTCCACCACGTCCGAGTCTACACCAAAGCCATCTACCTTTCGAAACGCGTCCCCGTCATTCTACACTGGACACTATATGTATCAGATTATTTATATAATTCCAGAGGATATATACCTATTCACGAATCCTCTTAACTAGAACGTTTGAACTATCGTTCTATGCCAGACGAAGTGAAGAGCCGGCGGGTCATGCATTCATGCCCTGTTTAGTGCATAGGCGCCCACGACATTTCCAATGTTTCATCTTCTCCCTCCTGTTACTCCAATCTCAAGAGGCCGACGTAGTGATGCGGAGGTTCTACATGAGTGTAAAGAACAAACCTAGGCTATACAAGCACTTTACAACGAAGATCTGAATATCTTTCATAACAAAAAGATCATGCGTCCAACAGAGCAAAACCGCAGAAACTAAAGGCGTACTGCCCCAATTATGCAGCAGATGTAGAAAAGACTCGTGGTATGGATTTGATTCCAAGAGATATCGTCGTCCGTACCTCCTTTAGGTGCGTAAACTTCTCAATCGGATGGAAACAATTCATGTTTTTCCCAGAATGTGATATAAAAGGGTTCCTTCGCTATCTGGCAACCGCGTTGATAGGCAAAAACTCGGAGTTCATTTGACTACAGACCCTCAAAAGATATAGCCACGTCTTTCTTTCATTCTCTCCTTGATGCACTGGCGTAGCTGTCTCAAAGGAAACTCGCAGCCTTCATCAACTCTCCCCAATTCCTCGATGAAAATTTCACTTCAGGTCGCGTAATAAAAGGTGTCGAGCCCCAATGTCTATGAATCATAGTTCAAGCGACCTATTCTTGCCAAGATATCTTTCACATCAAACGAATGCGAACTCAAATCGTCGCCCTCAATCTTTTGTCTGTCGCCGGTGCCGCTCGTCCAGGCGCCATCGTGGAAGCCTCTTCCTACACTCGTTCCAGCGAAGCTCTTGTATGGGGCACCCTCATTTTCCACTTGGTCCCAAACGAAACTAACGTCTCTCGTCCATATATCCTGGTCCGTGTTCGCATGGACCTCATCAAAGGTCATTAGTAGGCAGAATGACACTGTTTACCAGGACCTGCTCTTTCGACCCGACATGAAACACGAAGACCGAATAACCGGTATCGTGTATCGTCTTGCGTCTCATTCTCTCGCTCTCGAGGAAAACAATTCTTGAAAACGTAAACTGCATAGAAGAAATCATATCGCCTCAAGACCCTCGCAGAAAACAATAATGCTCCAGCTACGACAACAAATCAAGAAGCAGGTTGTTTTCCGCGAGGACATCAAGACTGCAGGTAGTCCATACAAGACATTGCCCACTCTTGCCCTCAATTACAGCTCATATGTTGCTGGGTTTTAGGGTTCGTGGGATATCGCTTGGGGAAGGTCTACATATCTCTTTTTAAAAACTGTATGACATGGGAGCGTCTCAAGGCAACAAAGCAGATGCAGTATTGGGTAAGACTGCTTGCAAGACCCTCATGACACACATGCGACTCAAAGCCGAAAATATTTTTTGTAAGATTTCTTTATTTCTCCTCCTCTACTCACCTATCTACAGCAAAAACACGTCCCGAAAACGTTGGCCACTGACCTCTCTGCTATTGCGAACCGCTGAGAGCAAGAGCGATTATACAGGTAGACCTCGCTCTACAATTTTATGAAGTTGTTAACCACACTTTCTAGTCATGATCGCAATATCTTTGGGTCTCGATAGTGCTGCACCTGTCAAGCTTCTGATCGAACAGAGGCGGAACCTTATAATGGAAGAGAGCTTGGTCAAGTTATGACGACAACAGGAAGCTGTGTGATGCTCCTTTTTTCTCGTTCAGGTTTTGTGTTGACTACTTCCCAGGCTCTAGCAACAATCACCGAGCTAAAGGTTAAGCTAAGCCTAAGCTCGCTGAGGCGCCTACCAAGGAGCAAGCGTAGTCGCAGACGACGAAGCCTTCCCTGTGTTAGGCTTCAAGCAACATACAAGAAGTCTTCTTCCTCAACATAATGGTGATGTAAGTCTGGTGGCTTGTTATAGCTACAATCTACTGCCCAGTGCCCTCTTCATTGTTAAATGGTCTTTCTTTTCACAAAGGTCAAAAAATCGCAGTGGAAGGAAAGGCATAGTAGCTGTTGATAAAAGATACATAATTCATAGCTGAGCTACTCGGTATAAACACTTACTCTGGTTGGGGCCGTCACTTTGCAAATTAAAATACTCTATCGCCAAGTTGGCTTCATATTGTTGAGGTGTTTCACGACGGATTGAAAGCCTTTTTGTGATACCTTTCTCAACTTAAAAAAGGCTGGAGAAGACTGCGAAAAATATTTCCCATTGAATTGATTGACTAATGATGAGAGTGGGATTTGAACCCACGCCACGAATGACTAGAGAGAATCAAGGACCGAAGTCCAATCCTAAATCTAGCGCCTTAGACCACTCGGCCATCTCACCATGTCTAACTTGACAAACTATATTGTACAAGTGCCCAAACTCGCTTACCTATCTGGGCAATGTCTAAGAAAAGTTCCAGTTGCATCCCAGTTGTGTTGTTCAGCAAAAGATGCGACTCTATCTCAAGGTGCCGGTTATAAAGAGAAGCGACGAGGCCAGTGTGTCACCAAAAAAAACATCCCTAGGCCGAATACTCCGAATGGTACCCTGTGGCTTTATTTTCCAGATAGAGCTCCATACGAATGTCCGATACGTAGTTTTGTGCAAGAATGGTAAATTAGATGTGCATGGAGTGGGAGTGAGAGTCGGGAACGAAAGCTCGGCAGGAACCGGCCAAGCTAATCTCTGCTATCTTATCACGAAATTCTTTCATGTGAAACCAAGAATCGGTTTGGATTTCAGTTGCTCCGTTCGCTCCATTAGTTATTTTCGACCTTGTGTATCCTCAGCAACCATGACCACTTATTCTACAGTCTCCAAACTCCTAATGACACGTCGCTCTCCCTTTACAACGACAGTTCTATCCCGACAAAAACTACAAAACCACTTTACGCAGTCGTCGCGAAAATGTCTTTCAACAACTAGCCGGCAAAATCCTATGACAGAATCTCCCAGCGTCACAATGTATTCTGGGACATCTCGTCCTCGCCCATATCACTTGAAGCACCCTCCGCCGCAGACAAAGAGAGATTTGCCCCGAATAAAAGTACGGAACCAAGTACATGTTTTCAAAGAACCTGACCAAGGGATTATCAGAGCAACTGGCCTACGATATTGGCCTTTTCCGTCGTCGGGGTAGCTGGATGGGCTGTGTTTCTCGCTTATGTGACGAACCAGGAAAAGATCTCTAGTTCGGTAGTGAAGCAGATTATGCGCGAGCTGAGAGTGGATGAAGAGCTGAGAGTTGTTCTTGGAGATGCAATACGGATGCAAGGTGAATGGTGGTTGAATGGCGATCCCAGGATTATTGGCTCGGTACGTTCTTTCTAAGATGAGCGAGATATTCTAATGAGGCTTTGTTCGTCAGATTTCCACTATGCAAGGAAATATCGATATTAGCTTTAGGATCAAAGGTTCCAGAGGTGCGTTGTATACTTTTTCTCTTCTGTATCAATGACGTATATCGTCCCAGGTACTGGAACAGTTTACTTTACTAGTATCCGTCGAGAAAAGGGTGTTCCTTTCGAAATACGTGCGTTTCTTCCTGTATCTTCGTTGTGTCTCTTAATAGCGATATTCCTACTAGTCCGCTTCAAAGTCATCGCCGACGACGGAACCATCATTTACAAGAATCTTAAAACATAACCCTTTCGCAATGGATCCAAGTTGACACGATACGGAAGTACTGTTAATATTGCTATTAATTGTGTAGAAACCAAGAATACCTCGACGCCAATAATGTATATATGAATGATATCCCAACCGCCTAACTGTGCTTGAGCGCTTGAGCTACGCGCCGCTACAGGGCTTTCCGTTCTTTGGCGGCTGCTTCTGGCTTGAAAAACCAAACTTTGCCTCGACGGTTCCAAGGTTTGGACTTCACTTCCTCTTCAGGTTCCGTCGTCTCTTCCTCGTCACCATCGTTATGAGCACACATGATGCGTTGCCCCTGGGCCTCTACTCTGGCTGTCGTCGTAGTGGTGGCGATGGGCGACGTACAGCCAACGGCCAAGGTTCCTGGGTGCCATTCCCTACCTCCCCTGAGCTGAGTGGGGCAAGGCTGGGAGAATCGGAACCCGCATGAGGGTCGACACCATGAGTAGAATACGCTGTGGAAGCATGCGCCATGGAGAGTGATTTGGGGTGTAGGTGTGTAAGAATTGAGTGTTCGCCGAGTTAGACCAAAGTAGGATTTTGTTCAAGATGGTACATCGTTCGCAGTTCTTATACTTGAGGAGAATATACTTTTGCCACAGTCTCGCCACAAATGTTACACAGCTCTAATGGTCCATTACCTTCTGGGAATTGTGGCGAACTGGTAACGCGCTTGTAGAATGTCAAGCTGTGATGGAAAAATTTACCAGCATAACGACCTTGTATCCGAGCAGGTGGGGATTATGAGATGGTGAATTCGATATGTTATAATCTCACAAATCGATATACCATAAAGAGTGAATAAATGTTTGATAGACAGCGATGAGTTAGTGAAGTGAAGCAGATCAGTGACCTGGAGGAATTTGACCAGATTCTGTATGCCGGAAATGAGTAGGCTCTGAAAGAGTACTGACCGCCTCACAAATGCATCCTTAGTGGTTGGATCCTGTGTTAGTTGAAGGTAAAGGTGAAGTGGGCAAATACAGAGTACTGGTGATGACGGCGGTGACGGCATCATGGACGCAAAATTAACGCCCACTGACATTCTTCAAAGTGAACGTATTCCACGCAAACAGCTTTATTTGACCATTTCACTACTTGTGCATCATGCTACAGTAAACTTCCATGCGCTGAACGTACGGCCAAGTATGACGGCTCTCATAAGGACACTGGGCTCAAGGTGATAAAGACTGGACCGGGACCCCCCATTGTTCGTCCCTTCGAACCTGTGCTTTCGGAGCTTTCAAAAGACTCGGATTGTTGACTGCTTTTCCCACCTGTTGTAATGGCGTTACACATGGCCGTGGCGACACGAGAGGCCAGGAAGGTTCATTGACGTCGGTACATGGCTGAAAATCCTGCTGCGTCGCATGCGCAGACTTTCTGGATAAGGTCTCCGAGTCGTGTGGCTTTGGAGCTTTCCGAATGATGATCTGCGTTGAACCGGAGAGAACATCAGGTTCAGGGTCTGTATGCTCGAGGTGGTCACTGCGCGGAACATTCAGCGTTCGATTGGACTGATTGGATAAGAATACTCATATGTACCTGCTCGGCTTGAGCTGAATGGGAGAACCTAACAGAAAAACAGTTTCCTCCTTCGCTACGGGAGGACCACGTTGTTGGCTTGATTCTTCAAGAGAAACAGATGTGTTGGCATCCTGGGGTTGCTGAAATCGATTGGTGGCTGACATGTTAGGTGGAAACGCAAGACGATTTTCTGTCGAGACATCAAGCGAATACCTGTGTCCTTTTATTATCACTTGTGAGGCTAACCCAGTTAAGCATTCCTTGTAACTTTCTAAAGGCCAAAGCGTTCATTTGCCTTTTGTAGTGTGGCGCCGTTGTCTCCTTGGGTTCATACCAGTTCGCCAAGTGTTCGCCATTGTTGTGTACATCGTCACAGCATCGTGACCAACGATGTAACGAACAATGGGATTACCATAATTTCATTGTAATCTTCGACCGTTTTTTTTGAAAACTAATCAATTACCATATTCGGAAAGTCGGGCCACTAACGTTGAACGTTAACAAACAGAAACAATCGTTTTTCCACGGGGTGGATCGTTTAATGCCTATCATTGCTGGGTTTCAACATATTTAAACGATAAGTTTTCACAATGCATCGCAAAAAAAATTCTCCCAGCCTTCCACATTCGGCACTCTTTATCGTCCTTTATCGTTCTCGAAACTTTACTTCTCTCACAAAGAATAATCATGTTCCCATCCCTCGAACAGCCCCTGCAGGTTGCTGGCATCCGGCTCAACTATTCCTTTATTCGTTCTCATCTTCCTTGGGGGAAGAAGAAGACGAACACGAGCGTTAAGAAAGAAAAGTCCATCACTCGCCAACGCTCCGACCACCGTCTTAATCGCGATCCTTCCGAGAGGGAACTCCGCTGCCCTCCCCGCTTTCCCAGAAAACGCATCGGTGAAATCCATCGCCAGTCGTCGAGCTTCGTGCGCCGTGCTGCAGAGCTGCGCGCGCAACGGGTCAGCGTCCATAAAAGCTTCCACAAAAAGGAACCTGCCCTTCAGAAAAAGAAGCCTGTCCGTCAGCCTTGTCGTCGACCCTATCGCTACTACTGCGGCCCAAAAATCAAACCAGAGACCCCCCAGGACAAAATCGACTTTGCCTACAAGGAAGCTCAACAAAAGTTACCCAAGCCGCACACGTTTGAGGATACCATCTTCGTCCAACAAATGCGAGAGCTTAAGATTCGCAACCGTATTCTTACCGAAAACTTCAACCACCGTGTCGTGTTGGACGAGTTGGAGAAGACGGCTGGTGAACGGTTGAAGCAGCAAGCGGAACACGATTCTCGTGCTGAGCAGCTCCGCGCCAAGCTCCAACGGCAGTTTCAAGAGCTCGATCGTACTTGGACTTTGGATAGACCACCTCTCGATTTTGGATCGACCCCGAAACGCCAACCCCGATACTCGAAACCTAGAACGCTGGCCGAGGTGTCTCCTACACGGACCTTGGAACAGCAGGCACGTGTTGTTCAGCAGGAAGCGGCGCAGCGGGTTCACCAAGCGCGTATCGACAGAGGTGAGCTCCCTCCGGATGCACCTATGCCCGTTAAAGACACATGGAGCCGCTGGGAGGAGGACCGAGCCGGAATGGAAAACGCGTATGCCGAGGTTCTCAGTGCTCGACGACGAGAAGCCGCCGCTCGTGCTGAGGAGAGACTGAGCCATGAGCAGAGACGTCTAGCACAGATTCGGGCTGCATGGCATGAACGAATGGAAAGGGAGACGGCGTTGACCGAAGCGTTGAAGGTTGCTCAGGAGGCGAAAGCTCGGGATGCCGCGAGGGAGCAGACGCGTCGTGCCGCTGCTGCTCCAAAGGTTAACCCCACCCCTGCTGCCGCTCCCAAAATCCCCGCTCCCAAGCAATACGCTTGGGAGCTCTATGAAAGCAAGTGGGCTGTGCTTAATGGAGGAACGGGTGCCGACGAGGTTGAAGCTGCGATCCCGTTCCTTCAGATGCCCTGGCCCCAGTTTCTTCCTGTCAACTCTTTGGATGATTTTAACGCAGATGACATTAGTAGCTTTCTTCTCTGCACCACTCGTCCTGGCTATCAGACACAATTTGCGAAGCAACGACTTCGTCAGACCCTTTTGCTTTACCATCCCGATAAGTTCAACCCCCGAGTTCTCCCTTATGTTAGAGAAGAGGATCGTGT